TGCACTCGACCTGACCTAGCATACCCTCTCAGCATCTTAGCACGCTATGTTGCTCCCGGCCGTCACCGGAAGGAGCACATGGATGCAGCTAAGAGGGTGTTGCGCTACTTGTGCAGTACGTCGGGCATGGGGCTAGTGCTTGGAGGGCGAGACCGGCCTGTTCTCACTGGGCACTCAGACGCTTCTTGGGCAGACGACCAGGCTACTCAGCGGTCGTCTCAGGGTTACACCTTCAGTCTTGGCTCTGGCTCTGTCTCTTGGCGTTCTACTCGTTCTTCTTCTGTTCTCAGCTCCAGCTGTGAGGCTGAGATCTACGCCACGGCCATGGCTGCCCAGGAGCTTCGCTGGCTCACCTACCTGCTGACTGACCTTGGAGAGCAGCCTCGTTCTCCTCCAGTGCTGTACGTCGACAACAAGGCAACCATTGCCTTGTGCCAGGAGCACAGACTGGAGCACAGGACGAAGCACATTGCTCTGCGTTACTTTCTAGCTCGAGAGCTACAGCAGCGTGGTCAGCTTCTTCTGCGTTACGTGGCCACTGAGGCCAACACTGCTGATGTGTTCACCAAGGCGCTTCCGCCTGTTGACCATCAGCGTTTTTGCACTCTTCTAGGCCTTGTGCCGACTGTTTCTCACTTACTTACTTCTTGACTTTACCTGTACTGTGATCATTATATATATACCTGCATGTTTGCCTTGTTAGGTTGTGATCATTGTACCTCTTGCTGTATTATAAAACTGCATGTGAACTGGTCTTGTGACCGCTTGCTTGTGCTCGGAATTTGTGTGGAATCCTCGAGATCCACCCTGAGCTTGTTTACCTTGTTTTGCCTTGACTGGTCTTGTGACCCCTAGGTCTCCCCCACTTTGCCTATGGGGGTGTGTCAAACATTTATATGTTTGTGTGGTTCTAGGCTGTAGTGGGTTACACCATAAGGGGTACACCAGATTAGGGTTTGACATATTTGTACTGTTGTTCCTGCTAGTCACTCCTCATTCTCGTTTCTCATTCTGACACACAGACCAAGAAGCTATTACAGTGGGAGAAAGACTTAGCTGTAAGGAAGGGTTCAGGAAAGATTTGGGTACCGAATTACGCCCCGCTACGGCAGATCCTATTGGAGGAGTTTCACGACGTACCTTACGCGGGACATTTCTGGAGCAACAAGACGTTAGCAGGGATAGCGAAGTATTACTACTGGCCCGGGATGGCAGCAGACGTGCAGCAGTTCGTCACCTCTTGCGACACGTGCCAGCGGATGAAGAGCAGCAAGCAGAAAAAAGCAGGGTTACTTCAGCCTCTACCCGTACCGGACCAGCCATGGCAGGTCGTTAGCCTTGACTTCATCACAGGGCTTCCTTCGACCTCACGGGGACATGATTCCATCCTCGTGGTGATCGATAAGTTCTCCAAAATGGGTCACTTCATACCAACCAACGCCACAGCTACAGCTGAAGCAACTGCTCGACTCTTCTTCGACCGCATCATCACCATCCACGGCATCCCCGCTACACTCATCTCAGGCAGAGACCCCAAATTCACGAGTAAGTTCTGGAAGGAGCTCATGGGACTGTTGGGGACAAAGCTTGCAATGTCTTCAGCATACCACCCCCAGACTGACGGACAGACAGAGCGACTCAATCAAGTGGTTGAACAGTTACTGCGCACAGCTTGCAAGGACGACGTCAGCCACTGGGACACACAGTTACCAACCCTAGAGTTCGCTTACAACTACGCATCACATGCGGCCATAGGGAAAACTCCTTTCTTCCTGTGTTATGGACGGGAACCACTCACACCACAGCAGCCAACTACACCGGCACACGTCCAAGCCGCACATGACTTCGTCACCACCATGCAGCAGCTATGGGAGAAGACTCAGCGACGTCTCACCACGATGCAGAACTCCCAGAAGCAGTATGCCGATTGTCAGCGACGTGATCACTCAGTAGCAGTCGGAGATCAGGTGCTTCTTGACACGCGCAACTTGAACCTGTCTCACCTCCCATCCAAACTCCGGCCTCGCTTCTGTGGTCCTTTTCTCGTTGAGGCACAGGTGACACCAGTTACATTCCGCTTGCGCTTACCAGATACATGGAAGCTTCACAACGCTTTCCATGTCCAGCTACTGAAGCCCTACAAGGACCCCAACCAACAGTTCCAGGTACGGCAACTACCGCCACCACCACCTGTTCTCATAGAGGATGAACCCGAGTACGAGATCGAGCGCGTTCTCTCTCATTGGCGCCGCGGTGGCAAGACTCTCGAGTTCCTGATACGCTGGAAGGGATACGGCCCCACTGAGGACAGTTGGGTTGCAGAAGCTGATATGGGCAACGCACGCCGTGCTCTCAAGGACTATCTTGTCAAGCAGGGTGTATCTCACGCCACCCAGCTTTGAGGGGGGGACGTGTGAGAGTACGACGACTTATGCCAGCTATGCTTGCTTGCCTTTACTTTATCATGCTATTTCTAGCATAGGATAATCATATGCATGCATGAATTGCTTGATTTCCTAGGCTAGGTGCTTTCCAATATTTTATTATAGTTATAGCACCGAGCTAGGTTGCGTGCACCGAATTCTGGCATTTCGGTTGCCACCGAATTGCCTTCTACCGAATTCGGTAAGGATCTGTCCGGGACGCTTCGCGACCCGCGGAACCTTCGCGTAACACCTGGCTACGGGGCCTTGTGTCGAGCCTATATATAGCCTCGTGTTGTACCCAGGTGGACATTCAATTCAATTCAATTTGAATCATCTTTTCTGAACTCGATCCCAGATCCTCACATCCCCTCTCATCCCCTCGCATCCCCTCTCACACACTCTCATTCCCTCTCACCCACTCTCAAATGCTCTCATTCCCTCTCACCCACTCTCATACGCTCTCATTCCCTCTCACCCACTCTCATACGCTCTCATTCCCTCTCACCCACTCTCTCACGCTCCCATTCCCTCTCACCCACTCTCGTACGCTCTCATTCCCTCTCACCCACTCTCATACTCTCTCATTCCCTCTCACCCACACTCATACGCTCTCATTCCCTCTCACCCACTCTCATACGCTCTCATTCCATCTAACCCACTCTCATACGCTCTCATTCCCTCTCACCCACACTCATACGCTCTCATTCCCTCTCACCCACTTTCATACGCTCTCATTCCCTCTCACCCACTCTCATACGCTCTCATTCCCTCTCACCCACTCTCATACTCTCTCATTCCCTCTCACCCACTCTAATACTCTCTCATACGCTCTCATCCACTCTCATCCACTCTCATACGCTCTCAACCCCTCCCATCCACTCTCATCCCCTCTCATCCCCTCTCATACACTCTCTTTCCCACTCATCCCCTCTCGTCCTATCTCACACACTATCATTCCCTCTCAATCACTCTCATCTACTATCATATACTCATATTCACTCTCATCCACTCTCATCCCCTCTCATCCCCTCTCATCCACTCTCATCCCCTCTCATCCACTCTTGTTCCCCCTCACACACTCTCATTCCCTCTCATACACTCTCGTACCCTCTCACCCACTCTCATACGCTCTCATTCCCTCTCACCCACTCTCATACCCTCTAATTCCCTCTCACCCACTCTCATACGCTCTCATTCCCTCTCACCCACTCTCATACGCTCTCATTCCCTCTCACCCACTCTCATACTCTCTCATTCCCTCTCACCCACTCTAATACTCTCTCATACGCTCTCATCCACTCTCATCCACTCTCATACGCTCTCAACCCCTCCCATCCACTCTCATCCCCTCTCATCCCCTCTCATACACTCTCTTTCCCACTCATCCCCTCTCGTCCTATCTCACACACTATCATTCCCTCTCAATCACTCTCATCTACTATCATACACTCATATTCACTCTCATCCACTCTCATCCCCTCTCATCCCCTCTCATCCACTCTCATCCCCTCTCATCCACTCTTGTTCCCCCTCACACACTCTCATTCCCTCTCATACACTCTCGTACCCTCTCACCCACTCTCATACGCTCTCATTCCCTCTCACCCACTCTCATACCCTCTAATTCCCTCTCATCCACTCTCATACGCTCTCATTCCCTCTCACCCACACTCATACCCTCTCATTCCCTCTCACCCACTCTCTTACGCTCTCATTCCCTCTCACCCACTCTCATACGCTCTCATTCCCTCTAACCCACTCTCATACGCTCTCATTCCCTCTCACCCACTCTCATACGCTCTCATTCCCTCTCACCCACTCTCATACGCTCTCATTCCCTCTCACCCACTCTCATACGCTCTCATCCCTCTCACCCACTCTCATACGCTCTCATTCCCTCTCACCCACTCTCATACGCTCTCATTCCCTCTTACCCACTCTCTTACGCTCTCATTCCCTCTCACCCACTCTCATACGCTCTCATTCCCTCTCACCCACTCTCATACCCTCTCATTCCCTCTCACGCACACTCATACGCTCTCATTCCCTCTCACCCACACTCATACACTCTCATTCCCTCTCACCCACTCTCATACGCTCTCATTCCCTCTAACCCACTCTCATACGCTCTCATTCCCTCTCACCCACTCTCATACGCTCTCATTCCCCCTCACCCACTCTCATACTCTCTCATACGCTCTCATCCACACTCATACGCTCTCATTCCCTCTCACCCACTCTCATACTCTCTCATTCCCTCTCACCCACTCTCATACTCTCTCATACCCTCTCATCCACTCTCATCCACTCTCATCCGCTCTCAACCCCTCCCATCCCCTCTCATACGCTCTCATCCCCTCTCACACACTCTCATTCCCTCTCACCCACTCTCAAACGCTCTCATTCCCTCTCACCCACTCTCATACGCTCTCATTCCCTCTCATCCACTCTCATACGCTCTCATTCCCTCTCACCCACTCTCTCACGCTCTCATCCCCTCTCATCCCCTCTCACACACTCTCATTCCCTCTCACCCACTCTCAAACGCTCTCATTCCCTCTCACCCACTCTCATATGCTCTCATTCCCTCTCACCCACTCTCATACGCTCTCATTCCCTCTCACCCACTCTCATACTCTCTCATTCCCTCTCACCCACACTCATACGCTCTCATTCCCTCTCACCCACACTCATACGGTCTCATTCCCTCTCACCCACTCTCATACGCTCTCATTCCATCTAACCCACTCTCATACTCTCTCATTCACTCTCACCCACTCTCATACGCTCTCATTCCCTCTCACCCACTCTCATACGCTCTCATTCCCTCTCACCCACTCTCATACGCTCATTCCCTCTCACCCACTCTCATACTCTCTCATTCCCTCTCACCCACTCTCATACTCTCTCATACGCTCTCATCCACTCTCATCCACTCTCATACGCTCTCAACCCCTCCCATCCACTCTCATCCCCTCTCATCCCCTCTCATTCACTCTCATTCCCACTCATCCCCTCTCGTCCTATTTCACACACTATCATTCCCTCTCATTCACTCTCATCTACTATCATACACTCATATTCACTCTCATCCACTCTCATCCCCTCTCATCCCCTCTCATCCACTCTCTTCCCCTCTCATCCACTCTCGTTCCCCCTCACACACTCTCATTCCTTCTCATACACTCTCGTACCCTCTCCTCCACTCTCATTCCCTCTCATCCCCTCTCCTACACTCTAATTCCCTCTCATTCACTCTCATTCTCTCTCATCCCCTCTCATTCACTCTCATTCCCTCTCCTCCCCTCTCATTCCCTCTCATCCCCTCTCACTCACTTTCATCCCCTCTCATTCCATCTCATACACTCTCATCCCCTCTCATCCCCTCTCGCACACTATCGTTCCCTCTCATCCGCTCTCATTCACGTTCATCCCCTTTCATCCCCTCTTATCCCCTCTCATCCCCTCTCATTCACTCTCATCCCGTCTCCTACACTCTCATACACTCTCATCCCCTCTCATCCCCTCTCATCCCCTCTCACACACTCTCATCCACTCTCATCCCCTCTCATCCACTCTCGTTCCCCCTCACACACTCTCATTCCCTCTCATCCCCCCTCATCCCCTCTCACACACTCTCGTTCCCTCTCATACACTTTCATCCCCTCTCTTCCACTCTCATTCCCCCCCATCCCCTCTCCTACACTCTAACCCACTCTCATACACTCTCATCCCCTCTCATCACCTCTCTGGTCCTGATTCCCCGTTCCTATCATCCCCTCTAATTCCCCGTTATCTTCCTATGCTCATTATCCATCAGACCTCGTGGCACTTGTGATCAGCGTCATGTCTCACCCACTGCAAGCCAGGTGAGGTCTGGCCTATGAATTTAGGGTTGGCCTTTGCAGATCCTCGTGGTTTACAGTGCGTGGGTCCGTACACTCCATTGTAATGCCAAATTTCACTCACAAATTGCAATGTTGTGATGTTGCTTGATCTCTATTTCGTTTGGTGCACTAGTTATGTCGCTGTGCAGGACTTTGACGTATGCAACATATTCAAGGGGAAAGTTTATCCGTCAGCCGCAGAAGCGAGGGAGGATGTTCGGTTGTATTGTCGGCAGAATATGATTAGGGAGTTCTACTATTATAGTCGCAAAGAACTTATCGAGGTACGGTGCAACTCGATGAAGAATTTGAGTTGGGTTGGTGGAGAGGTGAGCAGCAAAGATGAGTTATGTCCCTTCCGCATTGTCATACAAGGGTCCAAAAACAGAACCATGAAGGTCTCGCTAGCTAGCTTGAGGCATGCCGACCTATGTACATCTGGTGCTAGGAGTGTTAGGAAGATAGCTGTCGGAGTGTGTACAAGGGAGACGGCAAATCACCATGACGATGACGGACCCACCAAGAGTGCTGGATATATCGGTGGACGGGCGCGGGTTGAGGACTGCGAAGGACATGGCTGCAAGACACATACTATGCTGGTTGCAGGAGATGGGATGACGGAAGGAGAAGAGATGAGAGGAGCTTACCTTGTTCATACACCTATGAATGTTACCTAAGGTGACGGTTAGAGGGTGGGTAAATTGGTGTTGGCGGTTATTAGTGGTAGGTGAGACGGTGCCTGTCCATGAGGTACATGGACGATAAGCGTGGTGTTGAGATATTTCCTTGTCACTTTGGACGGTTTAAAGCCCAAGTCCTGAATTACGAAGGAAGGCAAACTGTGCACAGTTTGCCTACCCGAACCCACATTTGACCTCCCGAGCCAGGCTGGTTACCAGAAAACATTGCGCCAAGAAACACTGAGTCGTAGAGCAGAACAGGTTTGGTTGGCGAGAGTCCCAACCACACCCTCCTGAAGGAACAAGGGCTCAAAATGTGCACAGTTTGCCTTCTTCGGTAATTCAGGTCGTGTGATTTCCATAGTACGCAAAGCGATTAGAGTATGCGAAGAGATAGAATAAAACGCCACTACAGCTTAGGCCATGAGCATTTTCACTTTTATTCCTAGCTCTTTCCCAAACATCGCATTTGGACCTATCGCCTTCCGCGTCCCCCACGCTTGTCCCCACCGTCTCTCACACACCTCCCCACGCACACGTCCACTCTTCCCACCGTCGCCCAAGCTTTCCCCCACCGTCGCTCACGCTTCCCCTTATCGCCGCTCACGCTTCCTCCGGCCTTCCCCCACACCGTCGCTCACGCCTTTCCCCACCTTCCCTCACGTTTCCCCTCTCATCGCCCACGATTCCTCCCACCGTCGCCCACGCTTCGGAGCACCGTCACCCACGCTTTCCCCACTGTCGCCCACGCTCCCCCCCACCATCGCCCACGCTTCCCCCCACCATCACCCACGCTTCCCCCCACCGTCACCCACGCTTCCCCCCACCGTCGTCCACGCTTCCCTCCACCGTCGCCCACGCTTCCCCCTACCGTTGCCCCCCGCTTCCCCCCACCGTCGCCTACGCTTCCCCCCACCGTCGCCCACGCTTCCCCCCACCGTCGCCCACGCTTCCCCCCACCGTCGCCCACGCTTCTCCCCACCGTCGCCCACCGCCACCGTCGCCCACCGCCACCGTCGCCCACTGCCACTGTCGCCCACGCTTGCCCTCCCATTGTCCTTGCTTAGCCTTCCCGCCGACCTCCCTTCTCTCCTCCTCTTTCCACGTCATCATCACTCCCCTGCCCATCACGTTCCCCCTCTTCACCATCGCTTCTCTACCCATGCCGCCCACCCTCTCATCCCTTCCCATTGCGTGGGGTGTGGGAGGGTGCGTGGTCAGCAGCACCCTTCCGTCGCATACACGCTCATTCATTACCCCTTCCCTCATCTCCCCATTCTTCATCTCCCCTTCCCTCATCTCCCCATCCCTCATCTCCTCATCCCTCACCTCCCCATCCCTCTCCTACCCAGCCCTCTCCTCCCCATCCCACACCTCCCCATCCCTCATCTCCTCATCCCTCATCTCCCCATCCCTCATCTCCCCAATCCGCCTCACCCCATTCCGCCCCGCCCCACCCCATTCCGCCCCACCCCTTTCTGCCCCACTCCATTCCGCCCCACCCCTTTCTGCCCCACCCCATTCCGCCCCACCCCAGCCTCCTCCCCAACCTCCTCCCCACCCTCCTCTCCAGCCTCCTCCCCACCCTCCTCCCCAGCCTCCTCCCCAGCCTCCTCCCCAGCCTCCTCCCCAGCCTCCTCCCCACCCTCCTCCACACCTTCCTCCCCACCCTCCTCCCCACCCTCCTCCCCACCCTCCTCCCCACCCTCCTCCCCACCCTCCTCCCCACCCTCCTCCCCACCCTCCTCCCCACCCTCCTCCCCACCCTCCTCTCCAGCCTCCTCCCCACCCTCCTCCCCAGCCTCCTCCCCAGCCTCCTCCCCAGCCTCCTCCCCACCTTCCTCCCCACCCTCCTCCCCACCCTCCTCCCCACCCTCCTCCCCACCCTCCTCCCCACCCTCCTCCCCACCCTCCTCCCCACCCTCCTCCCCACCCTCCTCTACAGCCTCCTCCCCACCCTCCTCCCCACCCTAATCCCCACCCTCCTCCCCACCCTCCTCCCCACCCTCCTCCCCACCCTCCTCCCCACCCTCCTCCTCACCCTCCTCCTCAGCCTCCTCCCCACCCTCCTCCCCACCCTCCTCCCCACCCTCCTCCCCAACCTCTCTTCCTCCCCTCCCTTCTGCTTCTCCCCCAAGCGTCCTCCCTACCTCCCTTCCTCCCATCATCACTTCCTCCCTTCCTTCATTCCTGCATTCCTCACTTCCTCCCTTCCTCCCTTCCTCCGTTCCTCCCTTCCTCATTTGCCAGTTGTCATTCTTTTGCATGCTTGCTTCCCTTATACTTCAGCCATGTCACATCTGACTTCTTGATTTGTGTTTGGACAGGTCTGCTCTGCATCTGGTTGTGCATGTGCTGGCTGTCTGATAGTAACACACGTATAGCCATGCCATATATTGGATTTTTTTTTTTTTAATACAGGATTATGAGCCTCAGAGCAGTCATACACATGACCAATACCAAGGAGTTCAACAATTAATATATTACCATATCTGTAAAGTAAGGGGAATCACCAGACTCGAGAAGGGAACAAAGCTAGGGGGTGTATGTGTAATGTTGCTTTCCGGTTTTGTCTGCTACACTGCAAGCAATAAACCAGGCCGTGCTAAGCCACATCTGGTGCTGAGCACCTGTAGCTGCATTGGGGGGTATGGGGGTGAGTGAAGGGGGAAAGACAGTAAACGGAATGAGCAAAGGGGAAGAGAAGAAGCAGCGGGGGACAGATTGAACAGAGGGGAAGAGAGGAAGCAAGGGGGAACAGAGTGAGCAGAAGTAAAGAGAGTGAGCAAGGGGGAAGAGAGTGAGCAGAGAAGAAGGGGAGGGAGCAAGGGTGAAACAGAGGGAGCAGGGGTGAGCAGGGAAGGCGATAGGGGGAAGCAGGGAAGGAGATAGGGGGAAGCAGGGAAGGGGATGGGGGGGAGCAGGGAAGGGGATGGGGGTGAGCAGGGAAGCGGATGGGGGGATGCTGGGAGGGGGACGGGGGAAGGGGGACGGGGGAAGGAGGGAAGGGGACGGGGGGAAGCAGGGAAGGGGAAGGGGGAAAGCAGGGAAGGGGATGGGGGGGAGCAGGGAAGGGGTTGGGGGGAAGCAGGGAAGGGGATGGGGGGAGCAAGTCGGAGGATGGGGGGAAGCAGCGCAGGGGATACGAGGAAACAGGGAAGAAAGGAAGGGTGTATGTGCGGGTTGGAAAGGGGGCGTGACAAGTGTGCGAGATGGGAAGGGAGAAGGGAGGGATGGCGAGGGCAACGAGGAGTGGAAGGGAGGGCGACGGGGGGAGAGAGAGACGGGGATTGCGAGGGGACGAGCACGAGACAAAGGGGGGCAACAAGCGGAAGGGATGGAAAGAGAGCGTGAAGGGGGAAAGAGAGTGAGAAGGGGGGAAAGAGAGTGAGCAAGGGGAAAGAGAGTGAGCAGGGGGGAAGAGAGTGAGCGGGGGGGAGAGAGTGAGTATAGGCATGAGTCGGGAAAACAGGGGCGAGCAGAGGGGGTAAGAGAGCGTGAAGGGGGGAAATGGGTGAGAAATGGGGAAAGTGGGGTTAGAACAAGGGGAGTGAGCAGAGGGAAAGAGAATGAGGAGGGGGGAAGCGAGTGAGCAGGGGGAAAGAGATTGAGGAGGGGGGAAGCGAGTGAGCAGGGGGGAAGAGAGTGAGCAGGGGGGAAGAGAGTGAGCAGGGGGAAAGAGAGTGAGCAGGGGGGAAGAGAGTGAGCAGGGGGAAAGAGATTGAGCAGGAGAGAGTGAAAGGCAATGGGAGGGGAAGTGAAGGTGACGGGTGGGGAAGCGAGTGTGACGGGGGGAAAGCGAGTGCGGCAGGCGTGGAAGGCGACGAGAGGGGGAATCGAAGGCATCGGGGGGGAGAAGTGAAGGCGACGGGAGGGGGAAGTGAGGGCGACGGGAGGGGGAAATGAAGGCGATGGGAGGGGGAAATGAAGGCGACGGGAGGGGAAGTGAAGGCGACGGGAGGGGGAAGTGAAGGCGACGGGAGGGGGAAATGAAGGCAACGGAAGAGGGGGGGGGGGAGTGAAGGCGACGAGGGAGAAGTGAAGGCGACGCGCGGAGCGAGGGCGACGGGCACGCGACGAGCTGCGGAAGCGATGGCGACGACGCGGGCGAAAGAGAGCGGAAGCGTGGGAAAGGAAAGCGAGGGCGAGGGGAGGGTCACGTTTGGGCGAACGGTTGCGATTCGATCTTCGCCACGAGTTTACGCTATGGAGTATTTGCACAATAACCTGCATTTCGACACAATAATCTTCACCCAGCGCAAACTAGCTTTGCGCGTCATCATTGCAAATCCGCGCCACCCAAATCGTATGGCGCATCTACTCCCTTTTGAGTGAACGCCGACGCCCTGCCCTGTCTACAGGTATGGTCTATGCCTAATACTCTGCATGCTATCTCGAACTGTGCACAGTTTGATAAGCTCGCGCTTTTCTGGTTGTGGGAAGGGCACCAACCATCATGGGAAGCGAGAAACTTTTGTCGCAAATTGGTTTCGCGAGTGAAAATCTCTCGCAACCCAACCGAACCTCTCCGTGCCTACCTCCCGAGCCTAGTTTTTAGCGTTGACTTCCGTTGAGTAATTCAGGTCTTGGGCTTTAATGCTGGACATAACGAGAGGGCCACCACTACCACTATGAATAGCAGTTGGTATTGCAGTCATATATAATCATCATCTGGTTTATGAATTCGTGATCAACAAGTTGGTGAGAGTGGACTGTTTGCACAAGAGTGCCACACATTTGCCACTCACAGCATTAATGTGTACATGCTAGTCCTCCTCATTGCCCATGACTATCATATGCAAATGAAATACGTTTGCGATCATCTGCGAGCATGTTTCCTAGTAGAAGTGGGCTGGCTTCTCCGTGGGACACAAAGCTGATCAGACCATCGAAAACATGATAGAATTAAGGCGTTGTATGTTACTTTAATACAATCACCACTGCATACTGTCGTGCGGGCTCTGAAACATTTGCATCAAACACCAGCTCTGCTTTCAGCTATCGCATATGTGCAATACTGCACCGTCCAAAACCATGTGACATACTGTACATACACAATTTGACACATTTACCGTATGTACCATCTAAACCCCTGCAGGGATGGAAGGGAAGTCATGTAGCATCACGCAACTGCCCCACTCACTTCATCGGCCCACAACAAGGTGTCCTTGTATAGGAGGAAACCGAACAACACTTGTGTTTGAGATAAATATGGCAAGTAAAAATTTTGCACACCGAACAACACAAACAATAGAATGATGCAACTAGAAAATGTCAAACATTTGATACTACCTAATTTAAATGTTAAATATAGGCACCATACACTGACATTGGAGTATTTTGATACCCAAAGCCCCAACCATTTGTGACGTTGCAGAGACAATGTGGGAAATAAAAAAAAAGGACATGTTATCAAACCAGGTGCAGAGCGCTCAAGAAGTCAATCATGTATCCATGAATAATAACATGCATAGCCCACACGTTCTACTGCAAAGAGCTGTTGCTGTTTTCGTATCCCTGTTGGCACGGCGACCTGTTGTGCATACCAGACGCCGACCCCTCGACCTCCCATTGCAATGGCATGCCCACATGGCTCCAACGTTGCTCCAGACCTGCAACATTCCCATGCATTGGCATTCCCACGCGTCCCCATCGTTGGTTAAGGGCTTGAACGTACCCAAATTGCCCTTGTAACGCATCCTGGGACCCAAGTTGGCCTCTCGTATCCTGCTGCCCTCCCATCCTATGCTGCCCTCCCAACCCCTGCTGCCCTACCAACCCCTGCTGCCCTCCCAACCCCTGCTGCCCTCCCAACCCCGCCTGTCCGCCGCTCCCCTGCTGCCCTGTCATCCCATGCTGCCTTGCCATCCCCTGCTGCCCTCCCAACCCCTGCTGCCCCCCCAACCCCTGCTGCCCTCCCATCCCCTGCTGCCCTCCCAACCCCTGCTCCCTTGTCATCCCATGCTGCCCTGTCATCCCATGCTGCCCTCCCAACCCATGCTGCCCCCCCCAACCCCTGCTGCCCTCCCATTCCCTGCTGCCCTCCCAACCCCTGCTCCCCTGTCATCCCATGCTGCCTTGCCATCCCCTGCTGCCCTCCCAACCCCTGCTGCCCCCCCAACCTCTGCTGCCCTACCATCCCCTGCTGCCCTCCCAACCCCTGCTCCCCTGTCATCCCATGCTGCCTTGCCATCCCCTGCTGCCCTCCCATCCCCTGCTGCCTTCCCAACCCCTGCTGCCCTCCCAACCCCTGCTGCCCTCCCAACCCCCGCTGCCCTCCCAAACCCCCGCTGCCCTCCCAACCCCCGCTGCCCTCCCAACCCCTGCTGCCCTTCCAACCCCTGCTGCCCTCCCAACCCCTGCTGCCCTCCCAACCCCTGCTGCCCTCCCAACCCCTGCTGCCCTCCCATCCTCTGCTGCCCTCCCAACCCCGCCTGTCCGCTGCTCCCCTGCTGCCCTGTCATCCCATGCTGCCTTGCCATCCCCTGCTGCCCTCCCATCCGCTGCCGCCCTCCCAACCCTGCCTGTCCGCTGCTCCCCTGCTGCCAGGCCATCCCCTGCTGCCTTGCCATCCCCTGCTGCCTTGCCATCCCCTGCTGCCCTCGCAACCCCGGGTGTCCTCCCATCCCCTGCTGCCCTCTCAACCCCTGCTGACCTTCCATCCCTTCCAATCCGCTCCCACCATTTTGTTCCAACCGTTCAGCTCCTCCCTGCTGTTCCGTGGTAGACCGAGATCCATATCTGCCTCTGCCTCTCCCTCTCTCTCTTCCCCGTTCTCCTCGGCTTGCATTGCGTCCCCTGCCTCTGCCCCTACCTTCAGTTGTTGCACGTTCCTCTCCTGCCTGTCTTGCCACATCACGCTGCAGGAGTAATCCCTGCATCCGCCGTATACGCCCTGCAACCACGTCCTCCGCAGTCCTCAACCCTTCCACCCGCTCGGCCACCGAAGTATCCGACACTCGTCCCGCCTGACTCTCTTGGGTGATGTCTATCTGTGTCCCCGCCGAATTATCTGTTTGAGTGGGCAAGTCTGAGTTCGTGGTTGTGCGTTCATCAAGACCAACATCACCGGCAGTTCCGGGATCCCTACCAAACACCTCGACCAGTGCCCCACCATATGTCACGGCATCACGATCATCCCGTCCCTCCTCATCCACTTCACCAATCCCTTCAACCAAACCGACACTCCCATCATCCTCGCTGCATGACTCCTCCTCCACATCACCTGGCTGTCCTTGTCTACGCATGGCTTGACACCTAATCCCTCTGCGGTGCATTCGGTTTCAAGCGTTGCACAGGGCTACATGCACTGCACCATCTGCATCCGTCATTGTTTGCACTGACAATTGCCCTGCGGGGGTTTGTAAAGCTTTCCACAACACTCTGTTGGCTGCACGGACCTCGCAAGTTCGGGCATTATGACCGTACTCACCGCACTTTCCACACTTGCGCAACTTGATTGGGTCCATCTCTCCTGTGGACCGCATTCTATGCTTTGGTGGCCGACCGGCCTTCTTCTTGTAGACCGGAGGGAGGGTAACGCCGTCAGGGACCACAGAGGTTGGGTCGAGAAGTCGGATCGGCGTTCTGTACACTTGTTGCAGTGCTGAAGTTGTGTGATATTTCTATATCACTGCGTGCGCCCTCTGAGCATCATTTTTGAACACGGCAAAGATGTGTACGCATGGCAGCCCGTATTCCCTGTTTTTGGGATAAATGGGCGAAGCGGTAAAAAGGGATTAACGCGTGACTGAAACCAGCAGGAATAGCTAAAACCTACAGGATTTTATCACACACATGAACACGTGGCTTAAAGAAGCCCACATTCAACAAATATGATTACGGCAAGCATATGTACACACGACACTTTGGCGACCTTATGCCCCTGCATGGGCAAGGTGGAGGGATAGGGAAGGTTCTTTGAGTTGTAGGCAACTAGACATTTCCGTTTAAACATGATATCGCATATCGCCATATTCCCCATGTCGTACGGGGAAGGCTCGTGATAAATGGGACAAATGGGCATTAAGTTAGAGAGGGTATAACGTAGGAGAAAATGGGCATAAGGTTGTAGACAACATGATAATAGCAGCAGGAACGAGATTACATGGCTCTTAGGCTGCCCCAAATACAACTGATGTTGGGATAAATGGACAGAAAAGGGGATTTCATAAGTTACGCAGACCTATTATGATAACTGGGGGCTAAAATTTAGAGTGGGTACAATATGAGGGTTGATCTTGCATGACATTTGGGAAGCTGATGAACACAATATTCAAGTATACACCATTGAAACATACGCTAGCTGTGCTAAAAACAGAACCTAAACACCACTTACTTGGTGTAGCCACATGAGCAGCGGGTGTCTGCAGGATCCTCGGGGTTTGTGGTCACGACTCGCCTCTCGTCCCCTTGGCGTACTATGTACTCGTGTTCCCCCGATTCAGCCACCCTGTATCTTTTGCCCTCATCGCGATTCCCAATGACTTTTGGCTTTGTCCTGGGAGGGAAGTCAGCAACTGTCATCTCGGAATATAATTGGCGCCTCTCTTCGATCTTCGTCGATAGCTTATCCGCCAAGCCTAGCAGCACCTGCGGCGGACTCTTATCCTGCAATCCCGAAAGCGACGCATGGTGAGACTCAACGGGATTGGAAGACAAGCAACCGTAACGCGGTGCTCCAAAATAAGCTGTCGCCCACTTAACACCCAACCCATTGTCCACAAGGTACGAGGATCCACCGGGACATTCCATCTCAATTTTTTCCATTGTCTTGAGGTACACAAGCTCCGTCAGAGCCGCGGCAGCTGCAAGAATTCGTCCGTCGAGATCTGTCCTGAACTTGTTTTTGAAGTTTCGAACCAAATGGGTGATGCAAAAAGACTCCCGTACAAGAGGGAGACAAGTGGATGTGGCGGATATCCATGCCCCTCCCCTATCATGCATCATGACAAAGTCAGAGGAGTTCACCTCCGGAACGGCCTCCAGCAGGAGATTGAATAGGAAGGCGCATGCATGCTTGTTTTCCCCCTCTACCCATGCACATCCCAACATAACAAGTTTGTGTTGGCTATCCAACATGCATATGTTCAAGGTGTATCCCCCCCATGCGGTCTTATTATGACATCCATCCGCAAAAATGATGGGCAGGCAGTTCATGACCGCATCTCTCGCCCCTAGAAATATAATTCCTGCACGGTAGAAGTGATTTCCCCGCCTGACCATAAACATGACAGATGAGGGGTTTTTATCTTTGAACTTTCCTAACAGGTCCTCCATGTATTGAAATCCATCGTCTCCACAAAACGGATCCGCATTCCTCAGCTCAAAGAGCACCTCGCGCGCAACCGTGTACGAGCACTCCGCACGTAAAACCGCCCTAACACGACTCATCAGCGCATGAGGTCTCATGTCGCCATGCTTTAGCATCTCACGCGCAACCTGTTTGACCTCATCCCTCTGAATCCTTGCAGCTTCGGTGACACACCTATCGGCGTGATCCAAATCAGCCACCGTGACCCGCAGGTTACTATAGCGCGGTCCCCGCATGACAACACGGAATGGACACATCCCTTCGCCGATGTGCACCTCCCCACGAGGCCATACCTTGCGCTCCATGGACTTGCACCACACCTCAATGAGATTCGACCAATTATAGCGGAAATAGGGAGCAAACGTCTGCTGCCTACAGTACAACCGCACCTCCTCCCTTGCTGCTACAGCAGTTGGGTAGAGCTTCCCCTTGTAAATGTTGAGAACATCATCTTCATGCACATCAAAATTCCTACAGGACCAAAAGATAACGGATGGAGGGATACCACACGGAAGTTTGCAAGTTATCTTATACAATTCTAGTTTGGAAATGAACGGTGGCTGATGTTAACAATGCACTTTAGCTAGTTTGGACAATAAGACCATGCGGATTCAACATCTATATTCAACCTCAGCCTCTCACCTTGAACGTATGAGGCGAAACATGTTGTTCCTCACGACCGCCTCAAGCTCTGTTGGACAATAAGACCATGCGGATATAAGGTGTAGTATTGTGCATAAGAGAGAATGGAAGGGGGAAAATTGAGAGCCTTTCAAGAGTTAAGGGACAAGAGAGAATGTCACACAGACAAGAGAGTGTATGAGAGCGTATGAGAGGGGATGAGAGGGGATGAGAGGGGATGAGAGGGAAAGAGAGGGAATGAGAGGGAATGAGAGGGAATGACAGTGAATGAGAGGGGATGAGAGGGAACGGGAGTAAGTGTAAGGGGATGAGAGGGGATGAGTGTGTATGAGAGGGGATGAGAGTGTATGAGAGGGGCTGAGAAGGGATAAGAGGGGATGAGTGTGAATGAGAGTGTATGGAAGTGTATGAGAGTGGATGAGAGCGGATTAGGGGGTATGAGTGTGTATGAGAGGGGATGAGAGTGTTTAAGAGTGTATGATAGTGCATGAGAGAGGATGAGAGGAGTTGAGAGTGTATGAGAGTGGATGAGGAGGGATGAGAGTGTGTAAGAGAGTGTATGAGAGTGTGTGAGAGGGGATGAGAGGGGATGAGAGGGGATGACCAGGGATGAGAGTGCACGCGAGTGAAAGGGAGTGTATGAGAGTGTATGAGTGTCTATGGGAGTGTATAAGAGGGGATGAGAGTGCATATGATAGTGTATGAGTTGGTATGAGTGGGTACGAGAGTGTATGAGAGTGTATGAGAGGGAATGAGATGGGATGAGAGGGGATGAGAGGGGATGAGAGTGAAAGAGAGTGTATGATAAGGGATGATGAGAGTGTATGAGAGTTTAGGAGGGTGGATGAGAGTGGTTGAGAGTGTATGAGAGTGTATGTGAGGGGATGAGAGTGTATGAGAGTGTATGAGAGTGAACGAGAGGGGATGTGAAGGGATGAGAGGGGATGAGAGTATATGAGGGGATGAGAGTGTGTGAGATAGGATGAGAACGGATGATAGGAAATGAGTGTGTATGAGAGTGAATGGGTGTGTATGAGGGGATGGGAGTGTAAGAGAGTGAGTGTAGGAGATTGAATGAGAGTGGTTGAGAGAGTATGAGAGTGTATGAGAGGGGATGAGAGTGTATGAGAGTATATGAGAAGGGATGAGAGTGTATGAGTGTGTACGGGAGAGTATGACGGGATGATAGTGTATATGATAGTGTATGGGAGGGTATGAGAGTGTACAAGAGTGTATGAGAGTGTATGAGAGGGGATGAGTGTGTATGAGAGTGGATGAGAGTGTATGAGAGGGGATGTGAGGGGATAACAGGGGATGAGTGTGAATGAGAGTGTATGGAAGTGTATGAGAGTGGATGAGAGCGGATTAGGGGGTATGAGTGTGTATGAGAGGGGATGCGAGTGTTTAAGAGTGTATGATAGTGCATGAGAGAGGATGAGAGGAGTTGAGAGTGTATGAGAGTGGATGAGGAGGGATGAGAGTGTGTAAGAGAGTGTATGAGAGTGTGTGAGAGTGTATGAGATGGGATGATAGGGGATGAGAGGGGATGAGAAGGGATGACCAGGGATGAGAGTGCACGAGAATGAAAGGGAGTGTAGGAGAGTGTATGAGTGTGTATGGGAGTGTATGAGAGGGGATGAGAGTGTATATGATAGTGTATGAGTGGGAATGAGTGGGTACGAGAGTGTATGAGAGGGAATGAGATGGGATAAGATGGGATGAGAGGGGATGAGAGGGGATGAGAGGGGATGAGAGGGGATGAGAGGGGATGAGAGGGGATGAGAGGGGATGAGAGGGGATGACCCGGGATGAGAGTGCACGAGAGTGAAAGGGAGTGTATGAGAGTGTATGAGTGTGTATGGGAGTGTATAAGAGGGGATGAGAGTGTATATGATAATGTATGAGTGGGTATGAGTGGGTACGAGAGGGTATGAGAGTGTATGAGAGGGAATGACATGGGATGAGAGGGGATGAGAGGGGATGAGAGGGGATGAGAGTATATGAGAGGGATGAGAGTGTGTTAGATAGGATGAGAACGGATGATAGGAAATGAGTGTGTATGAGAGTGAATGGGTGTGTATGAGGGGATGGGAGTGTATGAGAGTGAGTGTAGGAGATTCAATGAGAGTGGATGAGAGTGTATGAGAGTGTATGAGAGGGGATGAGAGTGTATGAGAGTATATGAGAAGGGATGAGAGTGTATGAGTGTGTACGGGAGAGTATGATGGGATGATAGTGTATATGATAGTGTATGGGAGGGTATGAGAGTGTACAAGAGTGTATGAGAGTGTATGAGAGGGGATGAGTGTGTATGAGAGGGGA